GGCTTGACGTAAGCTGCGCTGCATGGCCGGAGGTGGACGAGATGGCGTAGGTGCTTTGGCCTGTGCTCGGGCGCGTACCAGTCGCTCAAGTTCCTGCACCAGGCCGACCGCGCCAAGTCGCAGGGCCACACATGCGTGCTCAAGCTATGGGCGGTGCTCGGGTCGCTCATCCTCTACCAGCAGTACGTCGAGGTATTTCTCTCGTGGTTTCCGTTCTACTACTGGGCCAAGTGCGTGCTTCTTATTGCGCTCTTGACGCCCAAAACCAACGTTCCGTCGCTCGCGTTCGAGGCCGTCGTTGTCCCGCTGGTCGAGGCCGCCGAGGTCGCCTTTGACTCGCGCGTCAAGCCCGCGCTGGTGCAGCTGGCTGCGCGCCACGGCCACTGGCTCCACTGCGCTGCGATGCAAGTGGCGCTCCCAAGCCTCGCGGACGCCGAGCTTGAAAAGCTGGCCACTGAGCTGCAACGCCGGCTCGCCGACATCGAGGTGCGTCTTTGGCCAGTCCATGGACCGAGGATTTATTAGAAATTGGGCTTAGGCACTGCAGCAAGCGCGTGCGGATGCCACCGACGACTAAATACATTGCATAAATACAAGTCGATTACGCGGCCGATGGGCTACTCGCGAGCGTCGCAAGCACCTCTTGAAGGGTGGTGATCGTGGACGGGAACGACGGCCGGGCCGACGCATCTTCGGCCCAGCAAGCCTCGGTGAGGCGGAGAAGCGCTGGCGGCCACGTAGCTTCGAGCGCTGCGAGCGACGGGCGGAGTCCTTCGTATGCGATCTTCTTGACGAGAAGCTTCTTCTTCATCTTCTCGGTCGCAAGCTCAGCGTACGGCATCTGGCGCGTCATGATCTCGACCATGACTAGACATTCAGAGTTAGTTTATGGAAGGACTCGAATCGAGGAATAACCAATCGCAAAGCTGTACACGTCGACCTTTTCGTCATACTCTTTTTGGCCACGCAGGATCTCGGGTGCGGTCCAGATCGGCGACCCCAAAAGTGTCATTTCGCCATTCGTCTTTTCGCGGCTAAACTCAAAGTTGGCGATTTTGGCTTTGAAATCTTGCCTACAACCACGAGTCCTGTGGAGATGCATAATAAAATTGGAGATGGCGTACGTGATGTGGATGTTGGCACACTTGAGATCGCGGTGGAGAACCTGCGGCGTGTGCGCGTGGAGGTACGTCATGCCCCGCGCAATGTCGAGCATCATGCGGACATTGGCTTCGGGCGTCAGCGCAATGTCGGGCGACTGCAGCAGCGTCGCGAGGTCGCCGCGCGCCAACTGCTCGGTGACCATGCAACTAAAGGCAATCGTGAGATCGAACGACATTGCAATAAGAACTCACATGCAGGACTCCGAGTCCCAGCTAGCACCAATGCACTGGACGATATTGGGGTGGTGCATGTCGATGACGAGCCGCGTGACGCGCGCAAAGCGCTCAACAGCTTCCTCGGTGATGTGCGTGCGGAAGAGCTGCTTGACGAGGACGGGCGTGCCCGTGTACGTGCCCGGGCGGACGCACTCCCAAGGCGGGCTATTCGTTGTCAAGCGGTCGCCGAGTCGAAGCGCCTTGAACGGAATCGCGATCGTGCTCAACGTCAAGTCCGACGTCAGGTGCTGCTCGATGAAGGTCGTGCCAGGCGCGCGTGGCGGCGGCGACGTCGACTTTTGCGGCTGTGGAGGGGGCGCCACCGGCGACGGCGGCGGGATGCTTTTGCAGTTGCCCATCGCAGTTCGAAATGCTCTGTGATCGCCAGTTTGCACTTTATATTGGTAACAAACGCACACTATTTACGGCGATTTTCAATATGGTTTTGGAGGCGCCATCAACGGCTCGAACCGATGCGAACTTATTTAGCAAGTCAGCGACAGCCTCGCACAGCACCCATAGTGCATCTCGGGCGCGGAGCGAGCAAGCTTGCAAGCTAACAAGCGAGGTGCGTTGGTTTCTACAGTGTCGTGTGCAACGACCAAGCATTTTAGCCAATCACTGCATGCGAATGAAAGTGATGCGATGCGATTGGTTGGAATGCGCACCTCGAAAGTCGAGGACGCGCTTTTGATTGGGTTTTTCTTTACATGTTGATAATATGGTGTTTAAATAGTGTGAAATCGAGGCTGCTGACAATCCTGTGCAAGGTGCCATGTATTGGTAATCCCTACAACCGAGCATTTGAATTCGGCAACGATTCAGTCCTTCGTGTTGGCGATTTTGGTGTCTTTCGGCACAGCGACTTGTGCAAAAACGTTTTTTGCTATCTAGACGGTTCTGTATGTGATGGAGGTTGGTTTGGGGTTCTTGGGTATCGTGCAACAGCCACACTCCGAGCACAACAAGACGCGGGCTGATCCTCAGACGTAAGCTCACGCTCTCACGCTGCTTTTTTGCCAACTTGGATGCCGCGGACAAGGACATTCGATGCAGAGTCAAGAAGGAGCATCACTGTGGAGCCGGAAACGAAAGATCTACCTACATTCCTTGGTGCGACGGAGAATGATGCACACGTCGACAGCACTGTCGCAGGAAGCCATAGTGCAGCTTTCATTGCTGGCCTGCACTGTAGTGCGCTCATGGCCACACATGATTGCGAACAGCAGAGAAGAAAGAATGTGTCAATGGCATGGGTTCTGTGCGTCATTTAATGTAGCTGCTGTCTCAATGTACAATATTGTCGTTCATATCTATGATTATGTCTCCAATACATGCTACAATTCATTCGAGAGGCGCGCCAGTCGAACCAAGTCGCCTCGCGTCGCTTGGTCACGGAGCCGTGGTGCGCACGATCACTCCTCGGTGGCTCGAAGCGATTGGGCATAAATCAACAAATCTGTGTGCTTTCTTCTTTTGATTCGTTAAAAAGAAGCCAATCACACAGCTTCAAGTGGCATTTTCGAATCCTTCCCCAAAATGATGGCCTTGACCCGGACGCAGGTTGCGGCCTCGGCCGCCCATGGCACCTCGCTCAGGGCCGTCGACGCTGCCTTTGTCAGCCTCGACCGCTTCGACGGAGGTCTCTTCGCGCGCAATGCCAATGGCTCGCACGCGACGCTCCTCTTCGCTGCCAGTGTGCCCCCTGCCGCCATCTCAGTCGGTGGGCTGGAGTGATTGATCCTCGATGCGACGGCGCCGCTTAAAAAGTCGGACAAAAAAGCGCTGAGCTCAGCGCTTGTGGTTGCAACTGCGTTTGCAACGGCGCTTCGTATGCCCCGTGGCTCTGCGGCGGCCCGTTGGACTCGGGCGCCGCGGGCGCGTGGATCTTGTGGGGCGGCGGCTGGGGCATTCTGGTCTCGATGGCCATCGACTACTAGTCCCAGGAGTCGTTGCCTCAAACCGTTGAATGACAATATTTGCACTCCAAACGAGTATTGTGTTTTGTCCCATGGACAAATATTAGTTGGTGGAGAATATGTTCGCAAGCTGGTTCACGCTTGAAGAGTGCTCTCAATCGACAAACGTCATTGTATGATAGAAATTGGTTGTAGCCATATTACTCGATCATGTAGCGTGCATGACGACACTTCGTCGATGGAACGTGCGTTTGCTCGTACGTGACGGAATAGCACCTACCGTTTAC